CTCTAGGTGATAGTTCTTGATTACTTTTTGATAAATAATTCGTTCTTATTGTAAAATGGGAGCACTATTTATCAATCTGTAATAAAAGACGTGAGAAAATTCTGTCTTTTTTAAAGACAAAAATTTTTGAGGCGAAATACCCAAAAAGAAGGTAAAAAATGAATCCGCCTCAACAATATAGAACTTATTTTCTTAGATGTTCGACTTTTTTATTTTAAATGGGAATTTTTACGCAAAAATTATTTTTGTTTAATTTATAAAACTTAGGTCAGATTGTCTTCTTTTGATCGTCTTCAGTGCGCTTTTGCCACTCAACTTACTTTTTCCACAATTTTCCGTTGTAAATAATATTTTTCCCTGCCGGTTTGCAACCTCGACTGGCTTGCATCCTCAGACTAGTTGCATTCTTGACGTAAATTATTTTCCACAGTAAAATATTCAAGTGTAGCTTTCGAGCGACTAATTCAGGGTTATGAGTGAAATATTCGATAAAAATTAAATGCCAGACAGATCTAACATTTTAACGAATAATGCGATCCTGATGAGATTCCGGTAAAAAACGATTACGTATTTCATAAATTGAGTTGGATTGAGCGAGCCAGGGAGCCGTTTGAGCGAATGGAAAGGTCGAATATTAAAAACGTAAATTTAAATTGTATTTTGTTCGCTTCGATTGAGCCGATCGGATTTATTTCACTTTGGCAGATCAGTTGCAATGAGTTCTGCAAGATTTTGCGAATTTCAAATGCATAGAGCTCTAATTCTGTTTAAATACCGTTTTTAAATTCAAATTAATGGTAATTTTTTCCTTATTTTTGCGCGCAGTTTATGTAGATTGGGGGTATTTATCGGACTACTGATGTACCTGGTCATTAGTTTTCAATTTGAAATTTATCCTGAATCAGAGACAGGCTGGAGATTAGAAAACGCCCAGCAAAGGAAATTGTACGGCGATTTGGGAAATTGGGTTCAATGCCTGGAATATCTAATGCAGACATTCTCGGCTTGATTTTGCCAAAACGCCTTTTGAAAACAGGACGATTTTTAAATTGTTTCATCAGGAACTCTAAGGCTCAAAGCCAAATTATCGCTGATTTAAATCAAAGTTTAATGCAACATTTACAAATCACGAATCTTTTGGTCAATGGAGCTTAAAAGTGCTGTAAATAATGGCCGCAATTTTTTTTATTTGGTTGATTTCTGGACGCTTTATTGATGGGTTGGATTGAACCAGGCAAGCACTTGATAAAAGCCGCTATCTCGTTTCCGTCTCCATTTTCTCGTGATTGATGTGGAACATCCAGAACTGAGCCCAAAGTTCTCTAAGGACGATCGGACCGAAACAAAAGCCACCTGCTTAGTTCAAGGCTCATTAGCAAAGCTGTCTAATGGCATGGAAAAGGTCATCGGTCTAGTCGTCAAGAGAACATTAACAGCAGATTGCTGTCGACTTCTCCAAATGTTCTTGTCAAGGCTTTTTTTATTTCGGACCTTGTCCTTAGGAGTCATGAAGATTGACTGAATTTGGTTTTCCTGATTTTAGTTGGCTTAATTTTAACTTTATAAAAACTGTAATTTTAGTAATTGTTCCATTCATTCCACCTCCAAAGTTTAAATACTTCAACATGAAAGTCCTCTTTGATTGAAGTCGTTGCGTTTTTTAGAAACTTTTGGAGAAAAATAATTTAATTTCCTTCTTCGTAACTCAGTTATTCTCAACTTTTGGAGTCCGCGCTTCCAACAGATACAGTGCCAATCACTGTGAATGGAAGGAAATTTGACGAATTTAGACCTGCGAATTTTACGATAGTATTCGCAGCCTTACGGAATACATAAACTGGTTTTTGGGGTGTAAACGATTGCGGAAATGTCCGTGAGACCTGCCAAGAGTTTTGCGACTAAATGTACTCGCTAATATAAAAAAAACCATTACGCCGAAACCAATTGAGACTCAATAGCGCTTTTTACGACAATAAGTAGAGTTCACTTCACTCTATGTGTTCTGAAAATTCGTATTTGTCACAGACTAGGGCTGACTTTTGAGAATGACTTGAAATGGGACTTACAATGAATTTTGCGACCATATAAAGCCGGCGTTATTCAAAAATTCATCAAGCCAAATGCGATTGAGGCTAAATAGCGCAGTTTAGGGTAATTAATAGAGCGAATTTCACTGTACATTTCCACAAGGTTTGATTTCTTTGGGCTGATTTTTGGGAACTATTCAAACTGAGACTTGCAATTAGTTTTGCGACTAAACGTGCGCGACTTTGTTTAAAAATTTGTTTGGCTAAAAGCAATTGAGATTAAATAGTGCTCTATTCGGAAATAAATAGAGCGAACTTCAATGGACATTTGATGGAAGTTTGGTTTCTTTGGTGCTTTGGGCTGATTTTTGGGAACTATTCAAACTGAGACTTGCAATGACTTTTGCGACTAATTTACACGCCCGTTTTCACTAATTTATTGCATTCAAAACACTTGAGATTGAAACTCATTTTTTGCGACAATAAATAATGCACACTTCACTCTATGTTTTTCCAAAATTTCGTGATCTTAAAGGCTTGGGCTGAATTTTGAGAATTACTCAAAGTGAGTCCTGCAAAAACTTTTGCGTCGAAATTTATCCGCCGTTATTCAAAAACAAGCAGTTCAAGCCAGTTGAGATGAAAGACCGCTTTTAGTGGCAGTAAATAG